AAGTATGGTTAATTTATAAAAATTGTTATCACATTTTGGCGTATATCACTAAAACTGACTGCAAATTTTTTGACAAATGTCGTATACGACAAAATTTTATTAAACTCATAAATGGTTGACACTAAACTTAAAAAAATAAGATAATTTAAGAATTTCATGAACTAGTACATAGCATTCTCCGACACTTTGGAGAAAATCTGTAGTCGTGTTTCTGAGAAATTGCATTCCAAACTTCAATCGTGAGTTACCGAAAGTAACTTGTGACAATCTTTTATCCAGGGATCTACATAAATTATAATTGTCATTATTTTCGCAGTTGGAGTATATGCCAGACGAGTAACAGGTATATACATACAAGGATACCTAAATTAGCGCGTTGAACTTGTATATTTATCTCTCTCCAACGCATTAATTCTATATACGTAGGTACTAGACCTCTGCATGAGTCGATTCTAATTTCAAGCCAAAGAGAGTACAGTTGAATTGTGTATTCTATTTCAAGTTCAAAACACCCAGCGTTTTGAATTTTGTATTTTATGAATATTCATTGCGTTTCAAGTTTTCTAACTTCATATAGAATTATATAAATAAATGAATGAAAAACCTTAAATTTATTCATACTCAAATTTATTACAATTTATGTGATATTTTGTGTTTAGCATCGAAAACGAAAAAAAGAATGGAAGGTGTAGAGGAAAATGTAAATACGTTTAGCTTAAAATGATGTACGTATGTATGTATAGTGAATCTACATTTCGGTCCATTTAATAATGATAATGGTATATGTTTATAATAACAACACTCCGCAAGCGCATTATTGCAAAGTGCCGGCATCAAGAAGAAGCTCCACAGTGGAGAATACACACTGAGTCAAAAAAGAGGTCGTAGCAAAGTTTGGGAGATATTTTCCAATGTTAAAAATAACTCTGGCGAAGAGTTGCCCGATATTGTATCATGTAAAAGATGCTACAGCATTTACAAATTTACGGGGTGCACGTCAAATATTGTAAGACATAAATGCTATATTATAAATACCTATACTGTGGATCAGGAGATTCAAAGTTATTCAAACCTAAATGTTACGTTCACTGCTGACTTCGACTGCCTTAAATGGTGGTATCTGAACAAACATTTTTTTCCAATTTTATACAAAACGAGCTGCAAAATTTTCTGTATACCCGCAAGTAGCGCGGCTTCTGAAAGAGCCTTTTCAGATGCCAGAAATATAATAACCGAAAAACGTTGTACTATTGCTCTTAACCCAGACAATGTAAATAAAATAATGCTTCTGCATTCAAATATAGAAATATAAATATACTATATGTTGAAACCAATTCTATTCTTATCTAATGACTCTCTTTTATGGCGCATACAAGTACAAAATATGTATAAGAAAAGTTCAATAAATACAAGGAAATGTAGGTATTTAGATTTATAAAAATAAAAAAAATTCCATCATATTCACTCAATTTGTTTTCACATCGTTTGAATATTGTAATGTCGACAATCATACCAGCAAAGCTATTCATTTAAATTCAATAAAATTCAAACCCAATCACATTCATTTAATTTCAATATGAATGATTCATTTGCCGTTTAGAATGGATTCATGCAGCCCTCTAGTAGGTACCAACGCCTGACAAAGTTATGTCTAAATTTCATAATGGCTCTATGACAAAATATTCATGGAATGTATTCGTAGATTTTTATTTACTTCATTTCATACATTAGCATTGATGGTTTGTTTTTCATACATAAGTATTGATGTTTTTTACTAAATACCAGGAATAAATATTTAATAAAAAACTATTTCATTTAAGCTTAACCAACTTTTAGTTGCTCGGAGCTAATTTTGGAACGCTTCACGAAATATTTTCATAGACAGTAAATGCAACCCTGGGTGCATCATTAACGAGCTGAAAAGCCAAACATATAAAAAAATTCCATCTGAACCAATACTCCCAAAAATTATAAAGCAAAACAAAAACCATTTTTTCCAATTTATGCACTGTTATTTTTATTATTGCAATACAATTTCGCAGCTCTTCAAACATTTTCCACATTATGCTTTTAGGGCTAGTAGTTTCAGACCCCATTTGCTCGTTTTTTTTTTTCAATTCTGATTTCAGGCTAGGCTTCATGGGAACTTACTGTGGGTGCAAACAGACCACATTTTGTAAACTGAATTGTGATATTTAATTTTATTTTATAATGAAAAATGTATTTAATGTGCAATTTTTTAAGTTTACTAGATGTAAGACAACTTTTAATTTTCTTTATATATTGCATGCTTTAGTTTTAATTCTGTTTAAGTTAAGTTGTAAAGGTGAAAATAGGCCTCCTGGGCAACCGAGCACATTGAAAAAAAATCGGTAATGCGCGTAAAAGCATACCTCACAAGTGGTGTGGAAAATGCAAGAACAAATATAAATGGAATAATTTTCGAAATTATGCAATGGTTATTGGTATTTTCCATCTCAAAGGGGGTGATTAATTTGAAC